CCCTGCCCACCTTCACTTTCAGCGGGGCTCTCAGCACGTCTGAGGTAAACGCAGCCCCCGGCCCTGACCCCACAAGCTCCATTCCACAGCCCAGGACCCTTGGTTTGGCCGCTCCCAGGTCAGAGCCCACAGGGATGCCCCAGTCCTGGCCACCTCCCCAGGGAGGTCCTCAGCCCCATCACATCGAGCCAGAGACCTGCCCTGGCTTTCACACCCGCTGGGCTTTTCCCTGCAGCATCGCTTTCCTCTGGTGCCCTGAGACAATGTTTGCTGCCCAACTCTCTGCTCAAAGCTACGTGTCCACAAACAAACACTTGGGCTTGGTTTACCTGAGCTGTGCCAGCCCTGCCACCCCCAAGCACCCAACTGTCACAGCTCTCCCCTTCAGAAATCGTGAAACAGGTGGAAGAATCACAAGGGAATGCTGCTGCCCGAGGACTCTCAATGATTCCTGTGCTTTCCTTCCCACCAACAAAGACTCGAACCTCCTCTCACCACTACAGCCCACCCTCCCCAAGGGGAGCAGCAGAGATGTGACCATGGGAGTCAAGGAACTGAGGCTTCAGGAGCCCCCGTGTCTCACTGCAGGGGATGATCACATGGAAATGACGGTTCAGAGAGGAAACCGGGTGAGTATTTTGCAGGCAGACAGGTACCTTGAGAATACTCACTGCGAGGGCAGCGTTCTTCTGCAGCTTGTTGTAGGGGCTGTACTTGGGCTTAGGTGGTTTCCCTGCCAGCCTGTCTTTGTGCCTCCGGCTGCTCATGTGCTGGGAGAGGAAAACAGCCGGATCACTCACAGCCAGGACAGCAAGGACAGACCCACGGCACCGCGCAGCTTGGGTCCAACGGGGACACCCATCATCATCTCTCAGGGGACTGGCAGGTTCCCACCCCCCAGGCCCCCGGTGCCTGTGCAGAGGGGTCTGCGCGCCCGGTGTCCCCGCGTTCCCGGGGGAAAGTCACACACCAGGCCTGGCATCGTCACCTGTTTGAGCTGTGTCTCCGAGTTCACGTAGATCTCGCACACTTGGCAGTGAAACGCCTTGTTCTGGATGTTGATGCTGCCCTTGTTGCCGATCCGCTTGGCCTTGTGCCCTGCCCGGGACAGGAGCTTGCCCCGGCCTCGCCGCATCTGGGTGCCGTGACCTTCCAGC